TTATCTGCTAAAGTACCTCCTTTAACTTAACATGGGTTTGGGGTCTTTTTGATTACAATGTAAGGTCATTATACTTGCATTGTAAAACACTGTAAGCTAACATCCTCCTGTATTTTAACTGGCTTTATGGCACAGGCTACTACAGTAAGGGAGATGTCAAAGACCTCTTACACGCTTTTATTGCACATTAGCTGCTGAAATTTCTGAGCTTGATTAGAACAGTCATTTGCTGGCAGTGAGATCATCTTTTTGGGCTTATTTTCATTGAGGGCTATGTTTTTCTTTCCCAGATCAACATAATTCCTTTAATCTTGACTGAGCTTTCATAAGACTTTGAGCTAATATTTTGCAATTATGAAAGTTTACTTCATTTTAGAACTATCTTATTACTTCAGCTTTGGGAATTGTAATATAAATGGATATGTATCACGGTTGACTGCTTTTAGTTTGGAATCTATTGACTGGGAGCAGAAAGCCAAATGCAAGTGCATTTAGACTTAATTGTGCCGGCATTCTGGAAAAAGCAAACCATGAAAGACTCTGGTAAGGCTCTTGTTAAAAGACCATTTTTAACATTATTGAAATATAGATAGCCATGTAATGAAAAGATATATCTCAGAGCGTTGGAAAATTATGTTTCTTAATTTTTTTTAAAAGCCCAGCAATATTCTAAGGCAGTGGTTCCCAACCTTGGGTTAACTATCTGTTCTTGGATTGCAATTCCTAGAAACCACAACCAGCTGTGCTGGACAGGGTTTCTGGGAGTTGTAGTCCAAATACACCTGCCTCACCCAAGGTTGGGAACCACTGTTCTAAGGTCTTCTTCCAAAAAAAAACCCAAAAAAACAACAACCCATAATGGTCTGCAGAAATGCCTGTTGAGAATTTTCAATTTATTGGTCAATCACCAATCAGTTGGTTTTGAGATTCTCTGCAGAGGTTCTATAAATTGGTTTCATTCTTCTCTTGAAGAAGATCCTAGAACAGGGGTTGTGAGCCTTTGATACTCCAGATGTTTTGGACTACAACTCCCACAGTCCTTTATCCTTGCAGTACTGGATGGAGATTCTGGGAGGTGAAGTCCAAAATATCTATAAACTTATCACCCTTGCCCTAGAATGTTGCCAAGCTAAAATCTGTTGGGCTTTTAAAGCACACGTTAACTGTATTTTGAGACAAGTCTCCTTTCTATGTGGAGCCTTGTTGGATATTCTCCTGTTTTTACTGTCTTCAAACACAGACATTTCAGATCAGAATGTTATGTATTTTTTTGCCGCAGAGTTCTGTAAAGTCAGCATCTCCAACAGAAACAAAATGAATCTAAACAAGAAAAAAATGAAAGTAAAATGCTGGCATGTAATTCAGTCCCCGTATCTTGATTGTACTTAGAGTTTCTGTACAAACCGTTCAGTATGATGTATAATGGCTGAAACCCCATAGTAAGTCACAACCAGAGTAGGTCCATTGAATCAGTGAGGATTTGGTGAGTAACTCCTCTGTAAATTCCATTAAATCAATGAGCTTAATCTACTTGTGACTTACAACTAGATTTCTACCAATGTTCAGGGTGGAAGTTTTTGCATTTTGTACTTAGATTCTGAACTATTGCAGTGACTAGGGAGGATGAATAGGGCTATAAACCACAGGGTTCTCTTTTCAGCCAACTCTGAAATTGTGATCTCTAAATTTTAGCAGATTATACACCCACCTACCATGTACTACTGCTTGAATCAGGTTAGACTAGTGCCATCTGGTGGCAATATCTTTGCATGCTAGTTTTTCAATTCAAAATCTACAGTAATTGTCTTATCAATGTGATGTTTTTTTCAGGCCAGCTTTAAAAAATGGGGGATACAAAATTGTGTGCAAGTAGCCCCTTTCTTGGGCATGGTATTGCAAAAGGCAGGAGGGGAGAGGGATGAGGAAGGAAACAAAAAACAGAGACCAAAACCACACCAGAGCAATCTTTCTGTCCCAATTAGAGATAGGGGTATTTGTATTTGTATACGAATATCCCCACACAGGTGGCATTAATGAGGGTCCAGCCCTGTGGGGCCAGACGGTGCACTCACTGATCAGACGCAGTCATGGACGGCATGTTTCTACAAATGGCTCTGTACCGCGCAATCCGCTCGCTACTAGGTGGCAGGAGGACAAGCCGCACTGCAAGGTCAAAGAGTGGCGAGCGGAGCGCGCACTGCAGCGCCGTTCATAGAACCTGGTCTGCGTTCACGGCGGATCAATGAGTGGACCATCTGACCCCATGGGGCTGGACTCTCATTACCACAGGGATATTCGTATATGAATACCCCCATCTGTAGTCCCCATCCTGCCTCAGTTATATGACTTGTGGTGTGGCTAATTTAGCCAGCACATATATGAATATGTACCTAACGCACATCTGCAGTAAAGGAGTGGGCTGGGGTTGCTTATGTGAAATTACACTAAACTATATGGACAGTGTGTTATTGAGATTCTGCTGAGTGAAATTCTTGCCGGCGTAGTAACACAGGATCACACCACCTACACAACACTGCACAAGTAGAGGGCAGTTTTTTCTTCATGGAGACACACGCTGGCAATATGTGTGTTGCACAAATAGAACAACCCTACATTACTGTACAGAAGAGATTTTCCTCTCAGCAGAAGCTGAGTAGGATACTGGCCTGTATTTTCTAAAATTAATTCCAAAACTAATTTTAGAAAGTCTTAAAAACTTAGGAAAAAGGAAAACAACACAATGCATCCAGTTGTAATAACTTGGGCGTCTCTATAAACAACTCTAATGGCTTTTCAGGTTATAGAATCTTTCTTCAGGGGAGTGTTAGTACCAAGTGTAGCTACTTGTGAAAGAGAAATAATATGAGAGAATTAAATATTTTTGAAACTTGGGTATACTACACAGCTTCATGGAAAATGGTGACCAATGTTATGTGCATTTGTTCAGCTAGATCTGTCCTGTTTAATGAAGTTTACTGATCTGGAACATGCACTTAGGATTTTATGTACTGCTTTATCTGTCTGGATAGTTTAACATCCAATTGAATGTGAAATATTATACATATAGCTGCATTGGGTACTAAATATTTCTATGTAGTGAGTCTGTATAACTCAAAATAGTTGTGAATCTGGAATCATTTGGTATTTTGAAGCAGTAAATTTCTGTCATGCCAACTGCAATTCTGCTGTGTATCCAGCTTAAACATGATCAATGCAAGGGAGACCTTAGCTATAAATATGTCATTCATGTATTTTAGTTAGAAGGTGTATTGAAAGAAAACTACTATTCAAAGAACTTCTGCCAGATGGTGCGGGGTATAAATCCAAGAAAAATAAATAAATAAATAAATAAATAAATAAATAAATAAATAAATAAATACATACATACATACATACATACATACATACATACATACATACATACATACATATATACATACATACATACATACATACATAATATATGATTATGAAAAGATAATATTATGAAAACCATCCACCAAACGTCAAAACTGTGTATTACCACTGTAAAGCAAAACTATTTTGTATCAATCAATACATTTATGATGGTCATATGACCTGTTCAACAAATTTACACACATTACAAAAAACACTGAAAGTTTTAAAAAGCAACAAAAGTTACGAAGCATCTTCCAATTAGAACGTCCTTTTTCGTATTGCAGTAAGGAAAAAGTTAACAAATTGAGCAGAAACATAAGAATTCCAGTCTGACAAACAGACAACCACTTACTGTATCAGGATCGCCTTGAAACCTTTGCCAGAGAGGACAAATTAAACCATTCTTTGTTTCCTCATAGAACGTACAATATAGAAGGACATGAGTCAAACATTCAGGAGCCCCTGCTGTGCGTGGGCTCTGTCCCTCTTGGTGGAGAATTCCTAAAAAACTATCCTGGAGCAATACTAAGGATAGAACATTACATCTCGCAAGCAGAAATGTTCTGTGAGCCTGAGGTGATCTCAGAGCTGTTGAATATGGGTTGTGACCCACGTGTTGGCAACTCACCATTTGCAATCGGGGAGCAGGTTCTGTTGGCTAGAGTAGTGGTCCCCAACCTTGGACCCCCAGATGTTCTTGAACTACAACTCCCAGAAGCCTTCACCACCACCTCTGCTGGCCAGGATTTTTGGGAGCTGAAGTCCACGAACATCTGGAGGCCCAAGGTTAGGGACCACTGGGCTAGAGAAAACAACACATGTTGCTCAATATCATATAGTGGCTGGGACAATACTCTAAATGCTTGTTGTCATCAAAGCATTAGAGTGGAGTCAAGAAGAATAGCCAATGGATCTAATTTTTTGTTGGACCAAAAGTGGCCACTCGCTAGTACAGTATAGGAATCTATTAGCATAAAGTGTGCATAACTGCAATGCTCGGCTAAAAAGTGAGGGAAATATTTTTTAAAATTCTAGGTTGAGGGGACAACCAACACTGTGTGACTGTACTTCTGTTCGTTCCATATGCCCTGCCTGTTTCGTTCCAGTGTGGCCTAAGAGGTCATGGGGAATGGGAAGCCCTCTTGCCCAAAACACTTTGGCTGTGAGCACGAGGAGTTTGCACTGCCCAAAAGGGACAACTAGCAAATGACTTAACATGTGGGCCTGGGCTTCCCATTTACTCTAATGGCCTCTTGCTGCCTTGTGCACTCAGGGAGTGGAATGAAGAAAATGGGTCTCTGCTGGGTCCTATCCCTTGAATGGACTGGGTTATTCCACCCGCTGCCATTACTCATGATGTGATGAGGTCCGAACCTGGGGATACAGCGTCCTCAGTTGCAATCCTGCTTCTAATCTCTTCTTTGGCAATCTTGATATGAATACTTTTGCCCTGCCTTATTTGTTTGAAGTGGCACTTCAAAGGACCTGTAATGTGCTGAGGCTAGCGATGAGATTAAAGAATTAACAGTATGGGTCCTCATAGCCTTTCATGTTCTCCCATAGTAACGGCTTTTGCTTTGCTGTGTTTTTTCCTCCTTTAGAGAGTATCGTCATTCATCAGTTACGCATGAACTCAAGATGAGGCACCGTGCCCACTCTAGAGTATAGGCACACACACCTTCTCCATGCCACTTGGTTGGATCACGGCTGAAGCTCTGCCTCTATCACTGTGATCTTCCGTGCTACTGATTAATTATGGAAGGATTGTATTGCTTCCATTGGAATCTGGAGTTTTTTTGTGCCGATTTAATTCTTTGTTAAAAGAAACCATGTGCTGATTTTGTTTAATTAATTGGAAAGAGAGAACCGCCTCTTCTGTGCCAATTTTACTCTTAACTTTATGAAGATTTTGCATCAGCTGGCACATGTTTGATTTTTGTTTTGTGTTTCCTCTGTAATTTATTTTTATAATACACTTTGTAATGCAGTTTTCTGCTTGTTTTTGCCCAGCCTTCTAATTTCTGTCGTCTTTGTGGCACATTCATTTGTAGAACGCACTGTCAAAAATCACGAAAGTGCCAATCTGTATATTTTCTATTGGAGTTTATAAAAATGTTGACCTCAATAATGGCACCTTTTAAAGAAGTGCCACAAAAATTCACAGCCATAATGTGACTGAGATTAATTAATTGCCCAGAAGACTGCTTTCTGAGATAGTATTATAGTTTTTTGCACTGTGCTACAGTTTAATATAAAACTGAATATGAATAAACCAAAGCCTTGAAACTGTATTAGATTTTAAGAATTGTTTTTTAAAAGTTGTATGCTGATGTTCATTACACTTTGCTCATATAATGTGTGTTTTTACATATATCTGTACCAAAAGGATTCTTTTTATCACATTGTAACAAATAAATTTTCACCAGTGTGCAACCATCATACAGTGTCCAAAGTGTTAAACTACAGTGTTAAACAATTATGTAAAGCGTTATCTAAGTGCCTGTTTATTTCGTTCATCTTAACCTAAAACATTGTAATTCTTTCTCCATCAAAGACTGATCTGACTGAGATATTGGCCAAAACCCTTTGCATTTTTATGTAACGTGTTGCAGCTAATTGTGGCTAACTGAGGAGGTTCCAGGGTGCATCTTGGCTGCACAAACATGTGACCTGGCACATGGTAAAGACAACTCCCAGCATTTTGTCAGGTAGCTGCAGTAAGTTACACAAACCTTAAGCAAACACCGACAAGCATGTAGCCACCTTTGTAGTTCACTCCTGTTCAGAGTCTGAAACAGAAACGGACAAATGGGATGGAGAAAAAGTCATGAGAAGAGAAGCCATGGTTTGTCTGATTGCTTGCTGTGCACTTTGTGGTTTAAGTAGCAAAACATGGCTTACTGTGTTGTGAGAACACACCCACAATATTATTAACAAACACATATGGAAGACAGGATGGTTCAGGTGCAATAGTGTTAACTAGGTTAACCTATGGAGAGCACAGAACTAAAGTTGTGAGAACAGTGCCAGAAAAGTACTGGGGAGAACATTTGTTATATTTTCTGCAGAGTAATTGGATCTGTCATTAGAACCCACCACCTAGATGACTACCAGCCAATGTCCACCCTTCCTTTTTTAAAATAAGGTTTTAGTGATGTTGGTAGTGATAGAAGGACACCTCTAGGTCTTATTTGATGAAACTGAGTACGTCAACTAAATTCTAATCTGGGTTCAGGCCTGGTCTGGGGATAGAAACGGCATTGGTTAGATGACCTGTGTCAGGAGGTAGATAGTGGCAGTATGTCCCTACTGGACCTCCCAGCAACATTCAGCACAAACTATCATGGTCACCTTTGCAGGTTTGCCACTGAAATTTTATTTTTAATTTCCTTGACTTTCCCTGACCAACCTTTGTCAATTTCCCTGACCACCATTCTAATACAACCACAAGTTAAAGAATCAATAGGCCATGTTGTATTAATGCAAGTCTTCATGTAATGTTCCGCTCTACGACTACACAAGTCTCAGCTGCAAAAATATTTGTCAAACTAAGCGATTTCATATCAGCTTCTTCCATCATTAACTGCAGCAACATCTGTTTTGCAATTACACCAAAAATTACACCAAGATACAATTATTTTTGCTATTGTTTTAAAGGTACGCTAAAAATTAAACATTCTATCTAAAATGATTTCTCTGAAGCCACATTATGATACTTATAGTTTTGAAATTTCAGTAATAATCAAGTTAGAAAAATTTACTTTGCATGGTGCAGAGTGCTAGTTGTCTGTGAAATCCAACAGCAGCAAAACTCATTTGCAACTCTATGCTGAATTTAGCAGGAGACAAAACATCCATTCCATATGCAAGCGTGAAGCAAAAAAAGGCTTATCTTTATATGTAGGCTAAACGCAGTATTAGCAGGTAGGGATGAAAACAGACATTTAAAATTTGTATCTTGCTAAACTTTTAAACTAGCCTTGCTTTGCAAATGCTACAGGCAGACCTTGGAAATCATGAAGGGAGAGAGCTCAACAAACACATTGGGCTGGTTGCTGGGGGGGGTGGAGCTGGGAAAGGGGGCATCATGACATTTTACTTGTATTCTACTACTTCTCTATTCCAGTTGCCACAAGACTGACATTTTACTTGTATTCTACTACTTCTCTGTTCCAGTTACCACAAGAACAGGTCATGCCCTTGCAGCAGCAGGTCAAAAACCCACTGCTTGAATATATTTTAATCACAATTTCCCGGTTTGCTTGAATATATTTTAATCACAATTTCCCGGTCCCTGACTTCAGACCAATTTCCCTGACCAATTTCCATTTCCCTGACTTCCACGAAAGTGGCAACCCTGCATAGCGATTACAAACCTCTTTGGCTCAGCACTCCAAGAAGGTGGTACTGGAGTACTGCTCTTTAGCCTCATGACTGTCAGTCTATTGGGGTTCTTCAGGATTCAGTGCAGTCTACTACAGTATGTTTTTCAATGTTTATATGAAGGTGCTCGGGAGATCATGCCAAAGTTTGGTGGAGCCAGATCTCACCAGTATGCTGATAATACCCAACACTGTAACAATCTTTAACTAAAACCAAGGAGGTTTTAGAAGTCGTGAATTGCTTTCTGGCCGCAGTATAGATCACACAGGTCCTGCTGGGCATCAGAAAAACTAAGCTGGGATTGCAATTACAACTTGTTATGGATGAGGCTACATTCCTCCTGAAGAACCAGGTGCACAGCCTTGGATGGGCATCTATGGCCCATCCTAGAGAAGGTAGAAGTGGCCACAATGACCTGTGTCTTGATCACCTCCTGATGAGACTCCTGCAGTGTACTCTACAGGAAACTGCCTCCGAAAATTGCTTGGAAGCTACAGGTAGTGCAAAATGCAGAAGCAAAGCTGCTGTCTGATATTTATGTCACAGACCATGCATCACCTGTCCTGAACCAACTGCACTTCTGTTTTGCTTCTGAGCTCAATTCAGGATGTTGGTTTTGCATTATAAATAACCAAAGAGCTTGTGGGGGGGGGGTCAGGGTATCTGAAAGGCTCCCTCCTTAGAATATCAACAGAGGCCCTGTTGCACTTCCCTTCATCATGTGAGGGCAGGGAATGAGACAGAATGTCCTCTAAAGCAGTGGTCCCCAACCTTCAGCCTCCAGATGTTCTTGAACTTCAACCCCCAGAAATCCTGGCCAGCAGAGGTGGTGGTGAAGGCTTCTGGGAGTTGTAGTCCAAGAACACCTGGAGGCTCAAGGTTGGGGACCACTGCTCTAAAGCAGCACCTTGAAAGCAGAACTCCCTCCCCAGGGAATTCAGGCTTGTTCCATCTCTACTGAACTTCCGGAGGGCAGACAAGACTATTTCTTTATACATCCTTTCATGAACAAAAGTCATTTGAAGGCTGGTTTTTAAAGTTCTTGATCTCTTTGTGAAAAATGCTGACCTTTAACAATTATTTTCGGAATTGATTTTCGTGCTTTCAAGGAAAGTTCTTACATTTTTATATTTTGGAGGATTGTGCACCACTTGCGGTTATGATGTAATAAACACTTAGGAAACAAAACAATAAGTACAGTACCCAAAACAAAGCATGGGGTATTTGACACATTCCACAGCTGTGCAGCGAGGTTTGCTAACTACTGCATATTCAACAATGGGCATAGCCAATCATACTATGAAGCCTCAGTGTGCCTGTGTGATAAACAATCGACACTTCACATGCTTATAGGCCTTAGGCATTCTCCCTCAAAAGTTCAGTATGACATACAAAGGACTTTATTGGTTGCATATATGGCAATATATTCTGGTGAAATCAAGGAGTGGTTATTTCCCAATAAACATAATGTTTGCTGTCAAGTCAATTCTGAGTTATGGCATCCCTTTCAGTGTGCCTGTGTGATAAACAATCGACACTTCACATGCTTATAGGCCTTAGGCATTCTCCCTCAAAAGTTCAGTATGACATACAAAGGACTTTATTGGTTGCATATATGGCAATATATTCTGGTGAAATCAAGGAGTGGTTATTTCCCAATAAACATAATGTTTGCTGTCAAGTCAATTCTGAGTTATGTCAACCCTTTTCAGGGTTTCCAGGCAGAGAGTACTCAGAAGTAGTTTACCATTCCCTTCTTCTGGGGAGTACTCTGGAACTGTGCAGCTTGATCAAGGCTACACGGGTTGGCTCTTCTCCCAGGAGGCAAAGTGGGGAATCAAACTCCTAAACTCAGGATCCACAGCCAGATAACTAAACCATTGATTTATCCAGCCAGCTACATGGACACAATTAGGCTCTAAGGAGGATCAGAGATAATTTTTTTCAAGCAGCCAAGCCTTTATCAATGTGCCCTGAAAGTCTTAAATCATTGTTTTGATGTATATATGTTTTATATAGAGAACTGTTAATAATTTCCTGTTACTTTGACAACTGGAGAAGGTAAAAGCAAATGTGTGTATGTCTGCTCTTAACTTTATGAAAGCCTCTTTTGATTCTGGAGTAATAAAGAATATATTAAGAGGCAGGGGATGTGGAATGAGGATCTGGATCTACCGGTACATTTGTAGCTAATAGAAAGGGCATCCAGCTCCCATTTGTACAACATCAGCAATGATAAAATGACCCTTTTCTTCTTCAAATTATATTTGTGAAGTGGAAGGAAGATTTTGGTAATAAGGAAGAATTTCTCTGTGAGGGAAGACTGCAAGTTTCTTTCAGTTCTGGCATTTAAAATAAATTCCAGGCCTTGAAATTAATTCTGAGAGTACACCTTCTGTTGAATCTCAGGAGTTTAGAGAGAGAAAAAGCCCCACAAACCTCATTTTGCCCACCCCTGTTCTGCTTCTCTTCTGTCCACCTGTTTCCTGGTTTTCTTTGTCTGAATAAGTTGGTTTATTCAGCCCTCTCCCCAGTATTGAATGAGCAAGTGGGCGAGGGGGGAGAATAGGGCTCAAGAAACACTCTGTATCTAGCTAGAGACAAGCAACTTCATGACCTGCATGGTGAAGGCAGCATATTGAATACCCAGAGCTGTATAATCTGGCTGAACCTAGGAATTATAGTTGACAGCATATAATTTTCTTTTTTGCTTTGAGGTACATATGCCCCAAGGTGCATGCCAATATCAATTTTACAAGCACATAGGTGTGTCTATTTGTGAGTGGTGTCTTGTCTTTAGGCAGTGTGTGTCGTCAATGGGAAGGACAATCCAACTCATTATTATTCTGGGATACCTGCATCTTACATCATGGGACCTGAAGATGTATATCAATAACAGCAGAAACATCCCTCAGTTTTTAATAACCAGGTTTTTATTGCACACTAAAATCATTTTAAGATTCTAATTGGGTTAACAGCACCAATGTAATATTCTGTCCTTTCTAAAGGCGGATGTCGTGTCTATAAATAATATGAAACATTGATTTCCAATAAAGTAGGTCTGCATTTTTTATTCTTATACCTACTCTTTTCAAGTTGAATTCAGCTAATGTCTGTTTCAAAAAAAATGGATGGTTAATCAATGAAATGTGCTTTCTTTGCCCTTTATCAACTGAAAGGTGAAAGCTTTCATCTACAGATCACCTGACAATGGCTTTATTCTCCATTAGTTGGTCTGAATAAAGGAGAATAATCCTTTCTTTTAGGGTTTTTGTCCACTCTTCCCTTTCCACCACACTACAGAAATAAGCAACACAAGCAATAAGCTCAGATAACTGAGCAGTGCAGCAGGAAACAGTGAACCTAGTTTATATTTAAGGATTCCACCTTCACTACACCTTGTTGTGCTCTTTTTTGTAATTTACTATTTACATATATCTGCCTAAAAACTGACAAATCTTTCCCCAAGTCAACAATTTATAATAAGTAAATGTGACTTGTTACACTAAAAGGGCAACATCACTGCACTATGAATATGTTATGCTTGTGCTGCCTCCAAAAAGCAATATATTACAATTCAGTTTCAATTCAGTTTGATTTTACTGCTTTAGCACAGAGGCCACGGCAAATTCTACAACACAGTACCACAATGGGCAAAATCCTGCTGTGTAAAGTTCTGCCAGCGTAAATCAGGTTGAAAATTTCCAAGCCCACATATTGCTGCTCCGTACAGTATCTGGGGAAATAAAGCTGTTTCTAAAATGCCATAAATGTGAGGAACCAAACACCCTCCTCCAGTGCTATAGAATATGAGAATACCGTACACATTTCAGCTTCACAAGCTTGATATAAGACATCCAAGAGCTTGGCTGGTGAAACACCATTCCTCAACACTTCAAGTGAGAGACCTGCTTTAATTTCCTCCAGCCCATTATCTGTTTAGAGGGATGGGGCCTTTTGTTTATCTTAGTTTTACACTGAGCAGATTCCTCTTACAGTTGATGGTGAATTGTTTCATTGATCTTCTCATGCCTATTTGACTATGGGATATTAATTAGGACCATATCATTGTGTACAGCAGTACTGAAAAGGTCTTTCCACCTACTCTCAATGGGAAGAACTGCATTCCTGTTAAATCGTCCACTGTATCATTTATGTACCAGTTAAACAGCAACAAGGCCAAGATACATCCTGGGTGTATCCCTTTAGATGGGTTGACCAGGTTAGACACTTGGCCTAGAATGCCAACTTTGGCCTTTAAAAAATATCAGTATGCAGCTCTATAATTTTCTCTAAAAACCTGAGATTGATATTCAAGGTTATTGATTTTTCACATAAATTATAGCTTAGAACAGAACCAAATGCCAAATCAAGATCAGGAAAGGCAATACACAGCTGCCCAGATAATCTTTTGGTATACTTCCTGATTTGGTGCTGTAACAGAAAAGTACGGTCCAAAGCGGAATATCCCATTCTAAAACCAATTTGTTCAAGAATTAATAAGTCTGTTTTCAGTTACCCATACCTGAAGTTCTTGTAGATGTCTCGCACAGAGCTTGCCTGTAACAGCAGGCAAACATATGGGTCTATAATAGGCAGGACTGGTTTGTTTCTCTTGTTAAAAGACACAATACCTGAGGTTGCGAATTCCCTAGGGATTCTGTCAGAAATATATTTGTGAGTGAATAAGGCAGCTAAAACAGGTGCCAAACACTCCTGAGAACATTTGAGTATATTAGGAATTGAGGAATAATTGAGGAATTAAATCTTCTCCTGGAGCTTTACTGTTCTTGATTGCTGAAATTAGCAATTTTATTTCAATTTTACAGTAACTGATGCCCATGTCAGGAAAACATGGTGGTGGGTCTTGGCAAATTGGGCCTCATTTCCTACCTGGATTGTATCACTAAATAATTTTAACTAGTGTTCTTTCCAAAATCTAAATTAGTAAGGATCTTCTATATCAGTCATTCTCAACCTTTTTTTTTTTGGCCATAAACACAAAATGAAAAAAATCTAGGCTGAATTAGGATTGCATAATAATTTGTCACTGTATTTTATGCAATTACACTTTATGTCAGCATAAATTTCCAAAAGAATTCTCATCCTTTTATTTATATCAAGCTCTTTATACCTAGAGAATTTCTGACTGGCTTACATTAAAAGAGAGAGAGAGACAGAGAGAGAGAGAGAGAGAGAGAGAAATCGAGTTTCTGACACAATTCTTTTAGAGACAAGCTTTTTAAAAAAAGAATAATTAATAATTATTACTATATTTTTAAAAAGTTAATGCCATTATCAACATAGTTGTATACAAAGCAGATTAGATTTTTCAGACCACGGAGTAACAAATGTTGTCTACTTAATGTTGGACAGTAAGTCTCTTTAGACCTGGGAAGTCCATTTATATTGTTCCTCCAATTAGACTGCATATGACAGAAATGCAGTTTAGCAGTGCAAAAACATCTATAAATGCCAAAAAAATCTAAAGTAAAATAATATGAATTGTAATGTACTATCAAAAGTAAGTCATTCAGTCACCAATATATGGCTAAACTTGCAGACTGCTGCTTAAACTGGCAACATGGTCTCCAGTATATCTCAGACATCATTTTTTGCTGAACCAATTTCAATTTTCAATGTAGAAAAACAGTACATATAGAAAACTAAAACAATGTTCCGTTAATTATATTGCCTGGGACACTTTAGTGTCCATGAATTCATGACATCTACCAAAACGTTGATGAACAACCATTACCGGTTTATCTTTCTCTAAAGATCCAATTAGTTCTTCAAGTCCTACAGACGTCAAATGATTACAAAACAAAACCACCTTCAGTGGCGCACACAGTCTTTTAGTACTGAGTAGTACAGTAATTGATACTTCGGCTGTAACACGGAACATGGCTAGAATGCTCTACCCGTATCTATTACGTGATCTTACAAATAACTCCCAATTTTACAAGGGAGACTAAGGCCACCCTTGCCCTCTAGTCATGAGTCCTACCTACTGCTTCCTATGTCAATTCCATACAACCATGAGCAATGTCAGGGTGCCCTTATCGCCCTCATGGGCTGCCTGCAGGCTTCCCACAAGCATCCGGTTGGTTGGCCACTGTTGGTATGGAAGGCTGGCCTTGGTCTGATCCAGCAGCAAGGCATTATATTGAACATTTATTTATTTATATATTAGATTTTTACCCCGCCCCTCTAGACAATATCTACTCGGGTCAGCTTACAAATAAAACATAGCAATATAACATATGTAAAATCATAAAAAATTTACAATTATAATTACAATTATAGCAACTGTAATTACAATTATAGCAAATTACCATTATAGCAATTGATTACAACTGTATTCAATTATAGCAAATTACCATTATAGCAATTACAATTGTATCAAAACAATTGCAAACGACGGGGACCAAACTGTTAAAAGAGCATATTGCCAAGAAGCGGATTTGTCCAGAAACAATTGCAAACGACGGGGACCAAACTGTTAAAAGAGCCTATTGCCAAGAAACGGACTTGTCCATGAAAGCTCTCCTTAAAATATAGCAGTCAATCTTTCAGGTGGCGCAACGTTTTTTGACTTCTTTTCTTATCTACGACTTTGTTCCGATTAAGACTAAACACTCCGGAACCACACAGTGTTCTTAACGTGCACGCGGAAAGGCTCGGGCGTCTCTTCGACACGGTTTCCTTGAACCGATCTGACGCGCGCTGGCCTGTCGCTTTCGGCACACTCTCTAGACTTACTGCGCATGCGTGCCTCCAGCGCCTCTTTAGAGCCCGACTCCTATGATTGGTTCTCAGGGTGTTTTGCCGATCGGGCGAATCTCTTAGGTTAGGGGTGTACGTCAAGCGCCGGATGCGGGCGCATGCGTATGGGGTGCCGTCGTAGCCAGGTAGCGGGTTGGCCGATGCCCGGATGGAGTCCGGTCATGGAGAGGGAAGTGCGAAAAGTTATTTATGATCGTGGGGGCGTGTGCGCAAGCGCAAGCGCCGCTCATATATTGGGCCGGGCGAGGACCGCTGTCATCAGTCGCTTCCTCGGCGTTGCGCGTTTTCTGCTCTTGGCATTTTTTGGGCCCGTGGACTGGGAGGGACCATGGCGATGAACTACAACGCCAAGGAGGAGGCGGACGGCCACACGTCGGGCGGCCTGGGCTCCATGCCGGGCAGCAGCGGCGTCGGTGGGGCCGGCGGGGCGCCCGGGACGGTCGGAGGCGCCGTCAAGAGCCGCAAGCCGGACAACACGGCGTTCAAGCAGCAGCGCCTGCCGGCCTGGCAGCCCATCCTCACGGCCGGCACCGTCCTGCCGGCCTTCTTCGTCATCGGCCTCATCTTCATCCCCATCGGCATCGGCATCTTCGTCACCTCCAACAACATCCGCGAGTTCGAGGTAAGCGCGGAAGGGCCTTCCGCCGAGAGAGAGAGAGGGGGGCCCGTGGAAGAAGAGA